ATGTGCCAAGTAGGATATCCTACACTTCCCAAGAGCCGTGGCTTTTCACCTCCAACGTGAGGAAGAACATACTGTTTGGCACCCCGCATGTGAAGGAAAGGTATCGGATCATTTACTCAAATTTACAACGACTTAGACAGTAGCTGACTCATGAAGGGAGAATAAACTTGGCCATTCTTCCCAAAATGTCTTTTGGTCCTTCGAATTCGGGTTGTTACCAACCTGAGTGAAACACGTAATAATGTGATCAAACATGATCAAACTCCTTTTAGATACAATGAAGTGGTGAAAGTGTGCGCCTTGCAACGAGACTTTGAGGAACTTCCTTTCGGCGATAAGACGCAAGTAGGAGAAAAAGGCGCCCTCCTAAGTGGAGGACAACGAGCTCGAGTGGCCCTGGCTAGAGCAGTTTACCGCGAGGCTGATGCCTATTTGCTGGACGATCCTCTAAGCGCAGTGGACGCCCATGTGGCCAAACATTTATTCGAGCAATGCATTCAACAGTATCTGGCAGGAAAAACGCGCATTCTAGTCACTCATCAGGTGCAGTTCCTCAAAGGAGCCGATATGATCGTCGTAATGAACAATGTGAGTATTAGAGCATGCGACTCAAAGTCCCACTATTTGTCAGCTTTCAAATCCTCTTCTCCATAGGGAAAAATAGAGAAAACCGGAACGTTTGAAGAATTAGAAAAGAACATTTCGGAGATTTCCAAAGAAGTGCAACAACAGTCCAAAGACGAGGCCAAAGAGGAAGAGGCCAATAAAATCACCAGTAAACGGGAGTTTCATCAATCAATTTCCTCTGTGATTGTAAGTGGTGGAAAGGTCCGAATAATCCCCACTCATTCGAAACGTTTTAGAGTTTGGAGGGGACTGAGCCGGACGAATCACAAGAGCTAATCTTAAAAGGATCAATCCCCTCTTCAACCTATATAGAATATTACAAAGCGGGGGCTTCAGCCTTCTTCCTAGCCGGTTTAGTGGTTTTGCTGATCATTTCCCAAGCCATGTGCAATGGGTCCGATTTATGGGTCACTTATTGGTAAGCCGCCTCACAACTCCATGAGAGTAAGTAACTGGGGCAATTCAACTAGGACGAACAAGGAAGAGCTGAGATACGCGCAGAATCAAGCAAGGAATTCTTCAAACATCGTCGATTCTTCCCAGGAAACGAACGCGAGCACAACTATCTTACCCCCAGCAGGGACTAGTGGGAATCTGAATATTGCCGCAACCCCTGAGGGAGCTGAATTACTTTCCATGAACAGCTACATCCTGATCTACACAGTGCTAATTCTTATGACAGTTCTGCTTACCAGCGCCCGGTAAGTTTTCCAAAACCTCGCTTTTCCTTGTTAGGACATGCCCAATTCCAGCTCGATAGCGTTTTACAAAGTGTGCATGAACGCCTCAAAAAACCTGCACAAGAAAATGTTTGCCAGCGTCCTGAAAGCGCCGATGTCCTTTTTCGACGCCAATCCTTCCGGAAGAATCCTCAACAGATTCTCCAAAGACATGGGAGCTGTAGACGAGCTCTTACCGCGAGTGAATTTAGACGCTTTGCAGATTTTCTTGATCATGTCAGGGATTTTAGCCATAGTAAGTCCCCTGGTAAGTCTTGGTGAGGGTAATTCAGTTGGAGCATTCCAGGTCTTCATCGTCAGCATCTGGATGATTTTCCCGGCTATAATTTTGGGCTATCTGTTCTTCTGGGCGCGAAAGGTCTACCTATCTTCGGCACAGGATGTTAAAAGACTCGAAGGGACCACCAGGACGCCAGTCTTTTCGCATGTTACTTCCAGTCTTTATGGATTGTCCAGCATCAGAGCGTTCCGAGCTCAGGGAATGGTTGCCCAAGAATTCGATACGTTGCAGGTGAGTGGTGGTGAGATCGATTCTGGATCTGGTCTGGATAATTTGATGGTTTAGGATCAACATACTTCCACGTGGTGCTTGCTGCTGCAGAGCAGCGAAGCTCTGGGTTTGTACCTGGATGTGATTAGCACAGTTTTCCTTGGTCTGGTCACTTTCCAGTTCCTGATTTTTCGAAGCGAAGACACCGTCAGTGGGAGTGTGGGGCTTGTGATTGCGCAAAGCTTGATTTTAACTGGTAAGCAATTGGAATTGAGAAAAATTAAATGTAGTAGTGACTCTTGAGATGGTTATAGGCGTTAATTTTTTGAAAAGAGGGGGGAATCAGAGTTCAGGTTAACTTGCACGTTTAGGCGCTCCTCCAGCAACTTCAACCGAAAGGAAGAACCCAACACTTATGACCAAGTGAAGACAAATGCTGAACGCAACTTGACTGATTTTACACGGTTCCTAACTCGGGTTCCCAGTTTTCTAATAGTCTTATGCCCGGTTTCTGGTAGATTCTCTTATTGGTTCGATAACTATCAGTCCGCTAAAGTTGTAGGTTCTATAACTTATGGTGGGTTTCTCAACGTGTCTAATGACCGGTTTCTGAAACGACCTTTATAGTTCCAATAGCCTAAACGGCTCTATAAGTCGGAAAAATGGGTTTCTGAAACGGTCGATAAGAGTTAGCGGTTCGATATATTAAAGAACCACAGAACATACCCCCAGGAGGAATATTTTGTGTTGAAGAACCGATAAAGGTGCGCTCTCGGACCTTTTTCCTAATAACATTTTTGGGAGCGAAATTGGTGTGTGAAAGTGAAGAAAGGTTTTGGAAAATAATGGAAGATTCCACTTCGGGCTCACCTGACGAGGAAGTTTTTGATGTTCTCAGTAGTGGAATAACTCGCCATTTTCGAGCACGGAATGATCATTTTGTGAAATTCAGCGAAGATGAATTCCGAGATCGTTTTCGTTTAACCAAAAACGTTGTTCACTACGTAGAAGAGCTACTTAAAGATCAAATTCAGTCAGTGACACAGAGAAACCATAGTTTATCTGTTTCAGAACAATTGCTAATTACTCTAAGGTTTTATGCATTTCATAACAATGCCAACTTCTGATCAAGAAATAAGACAAGTAAAATCGGGTTTTTATGCCATTAGAGGATTTCCAAATGTATTGGGCTGCATTGATGGATCTCACGTTCCAATACAATCACCAGGAGGAAGCAATGCAGAACTATATAGAAATAGAAAGGGATTTTTTTCTGTCAATGTACAGGTCATTTGTGATGCAAAATTATGTATACTCATGACAGTACAATGTTTAATGCATCACGCATTTCTGCCCAATTGGAGTAAGGAATGTTTAAAAATTCGTATTTACTAGGTGACAGTGCTTATCCCTACACGGATTATTTATTAACTCCCCTCTTAAATCCTATGTTACCACAAGAAATTCAATACAACGCTGCACATATAGCGACTAGAAAAACGGTTGAACGAACGGTTGGTGTCTGGAAGAGACGGTTTTTATGCCTTGCAAGGGGTTTGAGAACTGAATGACCGATATTAGTAGCTACTGCAGTGCTTCACAACTTAGCCATTAGGAGGAATGATGTTGAAGACTTTGAAGAAATAAACTGCAACGCGGAAGTAAATGATATTTTTGAAGAAGAAAATGAAGGTGGTTCTGCACTCCGAAGAGCAGTAATAAGATTTTTTACTTAACATGTAAATCTTTTAATTTGGTTTGTTAGAGTTGGCTGCAATATATTTTATATCCATCTATGTATTGCATAGTAAAAAATGTTTTGCATTTAAGCAAATGGATAACACTGGCTTATTATATATATATATGGCGGATAACACCACAGACTGATAACACGAGGCAAAGCAAGTCACTCTAACACGTCTCTTCTTCGTTATATGGCTTTTCCCACAGATTATCAAGCTTTACCTACTTTATCGACTCGATAGCTATGGACCACTAGCTTTAACGTAAAGACGCGTTGATGCCCACTTGCACCAAACTTCTTCTAAGCACGTCTTTACCTAAGTATACCTTGAAATTTAAGTCCGACTAATGCCCGTATGCACCGACAGACTTTAATCGCGATTAAGCCTTAAACCGGTTTAAAAATCATAAACGGTATGCACCGTCGACTGATTTGACCTTAAACGCGTTTAACTTTAATCCGCCAACCTCCGAGGATTAAGTTCTTAAACCAGTTTAACTACAAAACATAACCTTTGAAATTGAGGGTTTTGTTATAGATAAAGACGAGGTTTTGTTTTCGTCCTAGCAAATTCTAGTCGGTTCGGGTGTTAACTACTTGGAAAATGGAGTTGGAAGAAGAAATTATATTAGACGATGATATTGATGTTTTAGAAATAATTGATTATGGCTTTCCAAGGAGACAATTACTCCGCACAAATTATTTCGATGCACTTGACAAAATGTCTTTTTATAGACGGTTTCGTTGAACAAAGCCGGTCGTTTTTAGATTTCAAGAAGAAATTGGCCAACTTCTAGAATAACCTAGTGTCTAAGATTTCTATACTGCTTTAATTGCAAGATTCTGCACATCGCTTTCATATAGTAAAATCGCCAGTAATTTTGTGATACCTTATTGGTTGATTTTCTCAACAGTTAATAACGGTTTTCACCGTTAATATGTCTTGTCCTAGAAGAAAAATCGTTATCTCATATCATTTTTGGCAACTAGCCGCAATGAATGCCGGTTATATTCTTTCCCTTTAACAGCGATATTTAACACGAACGGCGGCACATTCATTGGAACCAGTGTTGCCAGGTCCGAAAATCGAGTTTCGGTAGATAAGCTCTAGACTTTTCGGTAGAAAATCGGTAAACTCATTTTTCTTTCATTATTAAAGGCTCCATAAAATCGCGCGTTTTTCAAAATTTTTAAACTTACAGGAATACTAAAATAAACATGAGTCAGTAAAGAAGTAAATATGAAATTGTACTCGTTTTTAGCTTATTTCTCAACTTAGTTTTCATTAGATTAACCCATGATACAATGAATACATGAATGTATTCATTGTATCATGAGATTAACCTGTGAAAATATCCGTTCAACTTGGCTGATGAGTGAGGTAGAATAAGTAGGTTACAAATAAAATTGGAAACACGAATGTACCAGCTCCATATTTCAATATTTGTACTTTGCTCCAAAACTCTAAAATATTTCCAGAAATTTTTTAAATTTCTTCAACATTTCGCAACAGACGTTCAGAATCACAGAAATTCACTATCATTTACTAAATTTGGAAATATTATTGCAACATCAGAAATAGATTGTGGGGAACCTGATTTCACTATTGCAGGATCCATAAAACATAATTTTATCATATT